TCTTCTAATGGATCGCTTACTTTCACTAACTTCTCCGGATCCAATGGCTCTGGTGCAAATCCATCCACTTCTACGTCAACCTTTAATTGCGTTCACTTCATTCAGTCACTTTGACTCACATCCAATATTTTGTTCATAAATAATAATCGATACTTTACGTTGGCAAATTCAATGATATTATATTGCGTAGCATTATGACCACGAATAATACATCTCATCTTAAAACGAATTACACGTGAACAACATAATCACGAGTTCCTACTCAATCGACTCAACCACGTCTTGTTCAATACCAAAAAACGCATTGCATTAAAATACTGATGAATAATTAGAAGTAAGCCATTAATGATAAATCTGATTACAAATGAACTAGGAAACATCAACGATAAATGATGAAACCTTTTTGGCATTGTGTTGTTTCTGTTTATTCGCCGCTTCAAAAGCTTCTTTCGCCTTCTCCTTCTTCTGTTTCTTTTTCAGTTTCTTCAATTCGGATGCACTCAGATTCCCTTCACCATTCTGCTTCGCTTCATTAAAATCATCTGGACGATCGAACATTCGTAAATATATCTTAAATATCATCAACAAATCAAGAATAGCATATCATCGATTTTTAGATTTAACGCAAACGGTGAATAGGATGTCAGATTCTCGAGTTCGCAATTGAGAATTTTTCAGCGCTGCTTTTATGTTTCATTCGTTCGTCTATGGATATGCCTGTATTGCATTTCGATAGACTGAACAGATTGATCAAATTAAACTGTTCCGATCACACCTCAAGTTTTGTAGCATTCATAACCTCCGTAATAAAGCATCCTGCAAACTATGTAGACTGGCAGACCACCATCCAAAAAATGAAACCAACTACTCGAATATCGACGAAATATCAACGACGATACAAAACGTATTTTTCTAAATTCCAAAAGAACTCACATCGATCGCAACTCTCGCTGCTTCGTAATAGAAAGAGTGTCTCCTCAGCACATCTTCTAACCTCAGCAGTTCAACATAAGCCACCAAAGTCATCTTACGTAAACAATACGTATGAAAATCGAACTGATCTTCAATTATACCAACGAAATGCTGAAACACTTTGATCTATTCACATCATTAACACTCAAATTAAACTGAT